CAGCCCAGCATACGGTTCCCAGCTCTCACAGCTTGCATTGGAGAGTCTTAGATTTTCAATAAGACTCAGCTCCATAGAGTTGGTCTCAGAATTTATGGTTTCCCAAGCTGCCAGAAGGTCAGGAGTGGCCTCTCCCTCTGGTCCCACTACCAGAGCCCCGCAAAGAGGAATCAGGTCAAGCATAATCATCTAGTGAGGGTAGACAAAAGGGTGGTGCCTCAGTCCTTTACTTTTATTGTCTGTGCTTAAACCTAGCCCTGTTGCCATGCATACTGCAAGCTTTAGATCACTGCAATATCTTGATGTTAGTTCAGTCTATTGTGAAATTGTATCAGTGCATGAAGATGCAGGCTTGGCAATGTTCAGAGTGTTACCACACAGTTATTTTTGACCTGTAGGTCAGTGACATGTCCAACAGTCTGACAGTTGGAAAGGTGTGTTGAGTGTTTGAGGGTTCGTAAGCTCTGGACTGCATTTAAAAAGAACGTTTACACTTACAGATGATTTCTGAGCATTGGCAACGGTGTAGCTAAGCAAAATGAAGGCATCCATGACCCTTTTGTGGGGGACTCCTGTGTAAATAATATAACTCAGCTTCTTTCCTGCTTTATTACTTGTTTAACAATCACAAAAGAAAGCTTGAACAGTGGACCAGGCCAGCTGCTTTGGCCCACTCAGGCAGCGTATAGCTGGTTTAACCAGCCATCTGTAGGGAAATCCCTGGATGGCGTGGAGCTGCTCTAGCAGCTGTGATGTTACCCTACCCCCTAACATGTCTGAAGGAAATGGGGCATGCACTTAGAGCCCCAGTTATTCCCAACTTCAGGAATGGCCCCAGGAATCATAGAAAACTGGGCATAAATTAGAGCAGTGCAAGAAGCCTCTAGGCCAGTGGTGGGCAACCTGCGGCCCATCAGAGTAATCTGCTGGCGGGCCGCCAGACAGTTTGTTTACATTTGCACGGCTGCCCATGGCTCCCAGTGGCTGCGGTTCACCATTCCCAGCCAATGGGAGCTGCGGGAAG